TCTGAGAGATAAATTGATTTTTCTCTCCTAACGGAAGATGACCATTATATTTATTTATCATGACCTTAGCTGATGACAAGACGTAGGTGATCATGAATCTTGACCTCTTTCCATGTTTTCTAAAATTAAAGTAACCTCTTATATAAGCATGATATTTCAGAAAATGGCACCTGGAGTGAGAAGGAAGAAGCTGAATCAATGGAGAAAATATACTGATGTATTTTTAAGAACACCAAACCATGGTTTTATTTTAATTTATCTATCTCTGCCCTGATGTCCACCATAGTACATGAGGAGATTCAAGGTCTTAACTCTATTACTGGCTTTATTCAGCAGCGTCAGACCAATAATAAGTGTTTGTCTGCCAGTGTGTGCTGCTCCGGATAGAGTAGCTCATTGTAATTCTCCCCTCCACTTTTTCTTCCCCAAGGAAATGTCTGTATCTCAGATCTGTCTAATTAACTAGTATGTGAAGATAGAAAATTGTGAGACAATCCCTATGCTCATCGTTGCTGGGATTTAAAAAGCTCAATAAAGTTTCCATCTACATTTTCCTGTTTACACAGTGGAGCAAAATGGATCAAACAAGCAAAGATTTGTGGCAACAGAGATGGTGCCTTTGTACAACATAACACATACTGTGTATCAAAGAAATATTGTGCCACTTCTCCGAAGCTGACATTGGAATAACATTGTAATCCTGGCCATCTGTCTTCCTCCTCTAGATGTCGATGAATGTGCGGTGGTGAATGGAGGCTGCCAGCAGCGCTGTATTAACACTCTGGGCACCTTCCACTGTGAATGTGCTACGGGATACAGACTCCATGCTGACGAACGCACCTGCATAAGTGAGTAAATATTAGAACCAGCTTGAAGCCATCTTCAGTGAAAATCGACCTGCCCATGTAGGAGTAGGAAGGAAAGGTTTTTCTATTGTAAAAACATCTATAGAAACTGCCGGTTTTCAAGTACAATTGTATCTCGTAGAATAAACAAAAAAACCCCATATCTTATTATGAAAAGACGGAAAGACAAAGAAAAATATGGAGAAGGGGATATAGAAATCAATATTTACAAGAAAATGTATGAATTCCCAAATGTGTGAATATTTCCAAAGTACATAATTTATGCCATATGCAGTAAAGTATAAATTGTTAGTTATTGTTTATATACAACAAGTATAGCACAGAACCACAATGAAGTGAGGATTGTAGGCCATTATAATTACTGGCCGTGATGTTCACTCAGTTGAGACCAGACTTAGAACTGGACTCAGAATCAGATTCATGATTAAAATTCAAGCTTCAGCAAAACTGTAACAGATTATATGCCAAGGAGTTAAGGTTATATGCTCAAGCAAAGTCAAAACTACAAACATTACATCTGAGATTACTATATATTCATTGTGCATCAAAATGTTCTTAAATATAATTTTTGGGTGGTAGGATAATTATTTTTAATTTTCTTTGTATGTTTCTGAATTTTACATCTTTCCTAAAATGAGCATATAGTACTTTTATAAACAAAAAAGAATGAACTTTAAAAATATTACATTTCCTGTATGATTTATAAATGTTTCTTGTTGTTTTAACTGAAGTAAGTTACATAGAAGTGGTTTTATTTTCATTAAGTGATGATCCTCATATGGCGAAAAGATGCATTCTAATTTAATATGCATGTTCTTTTAAAAAATAGTTATTATATTAAAAAAGCACCTTGTACAACACAATTTAATTGATGGCTTTATTATATAAGGTTTGTTAACTACTCCTTCTACATAAAATTATAGAATCTTATAAGGTATTCTATAGTTATGAATCTTGGAAGAGAAGTCAGCCAATTTCACCTAGTTTTATAACATCTTCCTTTTTCTTAGCATGTCTTATAGGAAATGAGAGAAGGCCAAGGCAAGCAGGTAAAGCTCGCCTTGGTCACAGGTCTGATTTGGATATGAGAAAACAGGTTCTGAGAGCAAAGATAGGACTTTTCCAAAGTCAAGTGAAGGTACAAATAAAAGACCAATATCCCAGGAATTCAGTATCATAATGATGTACCTACATTAACCACAAACTGTGGGACAACAGCACATGTATATTTAAATTGAAACATACCCTTATTTTTACAGGATTACTGGTTTTAGCAACAGATATCCCTTTCCTGACCCCATTCCCAACCTGTAAAGTCTTCAGCTGTTAACATCCTGAAACTGCCACTATAACTTCTCTCAGTCACAAAATATTTAAGAGCAGTGGGATTATTGCTACATCCAGATGAGGTATTTATGAGGAGAAGTTGACCTGATGAATTTTTGTGTCTGACATAAAAATATTTTGCGAAATAGTTATGTATATGAATCTATGATGTCTGGTCTTTACAATAAGGTAAAATAAACACTCCAGTCACCAACTAAATTGTATTCACAGGTGAAATTAGTTTTCTAAACCCTGGCAGTTATTAGCTATTTCTTAGTAAAATCATTAAGCTCTTCCCTTGTTCCTTACCATCACTACCCTTGAATTTTCCAATTTTTGTTTTAAGGATATCAGGTCAAAAGTGGAGTTGGAGAAGGATATTATGGTTTACTTTTCTATTTCTCTTCCTTAAAATCTGATTCTTATTGTACATATACATGGACACTATGGTAATAACCTACTCACAGTTCCATATGTTGATCTCCTTATGTAGAATTTTAGCATAGTGTACAAATTAGGTTGATTTATATATGTGTGTGTGTAAATTAAATATATATATATGGTGTGAATTAAGGTAATGAGAAATATGGATTTCATAACTGCAATTATTTTAAAGTGCTTAACCCCTCGGATGTCATTCTACAGAAGGCACTGGACTGAGAGCCCAGCAGTTGACCTTTGTGAAAATTTTGATGCCTTTTGCACATACATATTCTGAATTTTTGGTTTCGAAAGATGGTCTTAAGAATCTTAGTTGACACAGTTTACAATTATAGCAATCTTGTTAAAAGGAGCCCAAGAAGAATTAAACACTTTGTTTTTAAAGATAAATAATTTGAGCATGAGGACAACAATTATTTGTTTATTTATTGTGAAAGAAAGGGCTTGCTGCAGAGAACTGAAATTTACATTTGTCTGTATTCTGGGTTATATTTCAGAATATATTTCAGAAGGGCCAGATTTTTTTTTTAAACAGGAAAATTGAATTAGCTCACTTTCCCTTTGGGATTTTTACCTGGAAGCAGACTGAGAATGGTGGTTGGTGTTTAATGGGAGGTTATAGTAGATAGAAATTCATCAAGATCCATGGTAGTGTCATGGAAGAGAAAATGGAGTTATGGAATTTTATGATTTCACTATTTTGTAGTACTTGAAATTAGTTGCCTTCATTTCTTTCTTCCTCCTTCCCTTCTGTTCCTTCCTTTTCTCCTTTCTGCCCATCAGTTACAGGGCAAGGCTAGTGTCACTTTTTGACTTTT